CCGACAGGCCGACCACGGCCGCGAGCCCTGCACACCCCCCCCCCCGGCGCCGGGGTGTCGGAAATATGTTCCCTCCCCCGCCGGCCCGGCTCGCTCTGTCCCGCGAGGCCGTCCATGTGCAAGGGCCGCCCGGCGGTGTTCGCAGCACCCATTTCCCGGCCTCCGGCAAAGAGTACCAGCGCCCCCCTCCCGGCCCGGCCCGCGCGCCCGGCCTGCCCGCCCCGGTGCAGGGCCCATCACTCATCGGCATTCGCCAATACCTGCCCCCAGGTGGGGGCCCCTCCGCGGCTCTCTGCCCGGGGGGGGGGGACCGGGGGAGCAGGCGCAGCCCGTTGGGGCGCACTATCCCCGGCATTGCCCCCTGTTTCCCCCCTCCCCCTGTCGCAGCACGTTTTCTCGGCCTTCTTCGCGGCACGCATGGGGACATGCGTGTATCCCTCTCCGAACGGGGGTGTCTGTTTTATTTTCCTCTTTTCGTGCGTCCCAGTGCGGGTTGGTTTACGCTCACCCGAATGCCCGCAGGTGTGTGTCTATTGTCAGTTGTGTGCGCGTGTGCAGCTGCTTGTCCACCTTGCCCGCCCTGGCTCTCGCTCTCTCCCGCGCGGACACAGCCGTCTCTCTGGGCAGGTCCCCCCCCCCCCCCTCCCAGCCAGGCGCTCGGACGCCAGCCGGCACATGTCCACCTGCAGCAGCCACCGGTCAGGGCAATTCCAACTGCCGACCGACGATGGCGGGCGGTGCCCACCCTCGAGGATAATGCCATTCGAGGTGTCACGCCCGGGCGTGACCCCGGCACCCGATCGCCTGATCGGCAGATCCAAAACAACCACCCCCACTTCGTTGGAGGCCGGCCACCGCCCGGGAAACGCGCCGGGGCGGGCGGGCGGGGGGGGCGGCGCGCCCGCCGTATTGGCTTGTGTCCCCCGTCCCCCCCCCCCCCCCTCGGGTGGGCCTGGCACACACCACCCCCCGCCGATCCAGCGGCCAGTAAACCACCCCGGCCGCCAGGAAAGCATGCCCGGAGGAGCTGCCGGCCTGGAAGAAGAGCCACCGGCCCGCCTGGCGCCTAGATGAGGGCTACGCGACCGGCAGATTTCTGCTTGCCTCCCCCTCGCCGTTGCCCTTTTTTCTGTTGCCTCCGCCGGCAGTCCCCTTTTCTTCTGTCACTTTCCGCCCCCCCCCCCCTCCCGCCCCCTCCTTTCTTCTTTCCTTCCTCCCCCCTCCCCCCTGCTCTCTTTCCGTCTCCTCCCCTCCACATCTCAGATCGCCATGCCGGCCATCGCCGGGAGCGGCACCCTGGCCGCCCCGCCCCTGGCCGATGGCGAGTGCGTTGCTTCCACGCCGCTGGTCATCCGCCGGTGGCTGCCGGACAGCGGTGTCGACGCCGGGCTCGACGCCACCGCCGATGCTCCTGCCGCCATGACGGCCACCAGCGGGGCCGATGCCCCGCACGAGGGGGCCCCCGTTTCGGCGGATGACATGGCCGGTCAGTCGGCTGTCCCGGCCGCCGACCTGCCCCTTCCCTGGGCGGTCAGCGCGACGGCCACCTCCGGCCCGACCCCGCAGCCGGCCCGACGCGATGCCATCCCCACCGACGGGGCCATCACCACCCTGCTGGGGACCCAGCCCGAGCAGACGCCCCGGCTGGCGGTCCTGTCGCCTGACGAGCGGTTTTTGGCATCCGTCCGCCGGGACACCCCGGCCCCCGGCGGGTCGACCGCCGACCAGGCGACCGTGGCCTTCTTCCGTACGGCCACCGAGGAGGCCTTCTCCTTCCGGGTGGCCCACCCGGCCGGGCTGCCGCTGCCGACGGCCCACTGGCTGTCCTTCGGGCCGCGCGATGCACGCGGTCTGGTGGCCCACAGCCCGGCCCTGGACAGCCTTAGCCCGCGGCATGCGCTGGCCACCCTGGTCGGGGCCCGGCGCCTGCTGCTCTTCTTCCCGCGATCTGGCGCGCCGGGCGAGCGCCTGCCGGCCACCGGGGCCCGGCGCTTTCGCCCGGTCCCCTGGGCGGCTTTCGGCTCGGTTGACGAGGAGGCCGCCCGGGCTGCCGGTCTCGGGTTTCTGCCCGGAGCCACCGAGCCCGGCTCTGCCAGCCCCCTGCCCGCTGGCCAGCTAAGTGACCTGGACTCCTCGGATGACGAGGCCCCCGTCAGCTACGAGGAGCGCAGCGCCCTGCTCAAGTCGCTGCCCTCCTTCGGGGTGTACACCGACACCCAGCGCCGGCGCCGGCCTCAGCCCTTCCTGCTGGCGCACCGGCCACGCGGGGGCCTCTGTGGCCCGGTTGCCGCCGCCCCCGCTGGCCTTTTTGCCGATGTGCTTGACATCGACCTGCATGCCATCCTGGCCTCCCGGTCGCCCTTCAGTGCGTCTTGTCTCCCTCCCTCCTTCTGCCGGCCGCCCCCATGTTTCGGGCCCCCTCCTGGCCGGCGAAGTGCCACTGCCCTTCATCCAGCCCTCCTGACCTTCGGCTTTCTCGTCCATGCGCCCCCCCCCCCCCGTTCCATGTGCGCGTGTGTGCGCATGGCCATCAGCCCCTCCCGGCGGCACGGCGCACTTCCGGCTGATCGGTGCTGGCGGAAGCACCATCGTGCTCCTGGTCAATGCTTGCCACATCCTGTGTCTGTCGCTCGTCGAGGAGCCTTCCAGTGCGCTGGCCGCCGAGATCCGGGCTTCGTCGCTGCTGCGAAATGGCCGACCCGGCCGCGCGCCGCGCGCTTTCCCCGGGTTTGCCCTTGCCCCTGCCGGCAACCTGCGCATTCAGCCCACCTGGGTGGACGTCGGCCGGCGCCTCCGCCGTCGACTGCCCATGCTGCTGTCCCTGTCGGCCCTGGTGGCCGGGGATGCCTTCCACCCGGGCGATGCGCTTCCCCTGCTGACCGGTGGACCGGCCCTTGTGGTGTCGGCCGTCGTTGTCGGGGACTTCCTCTACCTGCTGACCGATGGCGGTGTTCTGGCGGTGCTGTCCCTCTCCGGCGATGTCATCATGGCGGTTCCGCTGGCGGCCCTGTCCTCGAGCCTACTCCGAGTGGTGGAGCCAATCTCGACCTCACCCGCCGGGCCACTGCCGGCCCCGCTGAGTGCGTCTTTCCATCCCTGCTACTTGGCCCTCCTCTCGCCCGGTCCCCCCCTCTCGCCCGGTCCCCTCCCCCCTCCCCCTCCCCCCTCCCTCCGCCCCCCCGCCCTCTGCTGACCATCCACCATGGTTCCTGTCCACGACATGTGCCTCTTGCTTGGGTCCCACTCCCCGGGCCTTCCTCCAGATCATGTGCCCCTTCTTGACCTGTCGGTGAGTGCCGACGGCTTGCGAGTGGTTTGCTGGCGTGTGGCCGACAGCGCCCTGGTCAGCCTCTGGGTGCCGGATCTGCTGCAGCATCATCCTCTGACGGCGACCTTGTATATGCGCCTGCTTCGGCGTCGGATTCTCCCGCGCGAACTCCACCAGCGTCTTGCCCAGGCATATGTCCTACAGGGGGCGGCCCTGGCCCAGGCGGCCCGGATCGCGGCCCACACCGAGCACGGCTCCCCAACCAACAACCCCAGCCCGGGCGGTGCGCCGGTTTCCACCAAGACCCTGGCCATCCCGGGCGCCATGGCACACGGTGGCGACCGCACGGGCCCGGGCGGCTCGGCCCCCCATCTGCACCGAGCCCTGTCCTCCTCCATCACCGGGAGTGGCGGCAGCGCCGGCGGCGCATTCGGCCTGATGTCCTCCAGCCCGGGCATGTTGTCCGTGTCGGTGGCCAGTGTGGAACTTGGCCGGACGGCCGGCTCCGGCTTCAGCTCCGGCTCCGACGACGAGGACATCCACGGGGCCGATGCCGCCTCCATCGGCAGCCCCCACTCGCAGCGTTCGCACGGCGCCGACCCCGGCGATGGTCCGGCTGTTGCCGCCTCGCGTTCCGAGCAGGGCCACCTGGCCAAGAGTCTCTTTAGTCTGGCCGGCCAACTGGCGGCCGACGACTTTGGCGGCCTCTCCTCCGATGATGAGGATGACTTTTCCATCGCGGGCGACGCCTTCTCGGCTGCCACCGGCCCGGGCGGTCATGCTGGGGGTCCGGGCGGCCCGAGTGCGGCCGCCGCGGCGGCCGCCACCTCCGGCCGGACCATGACCCGCTGGGAATTCGGCGCGCTAGTACACGGGCCTGCTGCTGGTGCTGGTGAGGGCGACCTCGCCGACCGGCGATCGGCCCTCGGCCAAGAGCTCCTTCCTCTCGTGGCGCCCGACCGAACGGTGGCCCGCAAGGTCCGGCAGATTCTCGGCAGCTCGGCTCGCAGTTCCGTGGCCTCGGCCTTCATTCTGGCCGATTTGGATGTTCGCCTGGCTGGCGGCTTGCCTGCGGCCGGGAGTGCGGTGGTCCCGGCGTCGCAGGGCAGCCAGTCTTGGCAGCCCCCGGCCGTTGCCTCCTTCGGCCTGGCGGTCTACCCGGCTGCCTTCTGGCTTGGTCGCCGGCTGGTGGCATCCATCCTGGAGGGTGGCAATCCAAGTGGCAGCAGCAGCAGCAGCAGCAGCAGCTGTGTCGCCCCTGCCGCCCCTTCCTCCAGTGCATCCGCCATGACCACGGCCAGCGGCCTGCGCCATCTTTCCCAGCTGTCCGGGGCCCTGTCACAGGATGTCGCCGGCCCGGCGGCCCTGTCCGATGGGGTCCCCTGCCTGCGGAGCTTGGCCGCTGCCATTGCGCGTCTGTCCCCGGGCGGCTGTTCCTTCACGGATTGCGACATGGCCACCGTGATCCTGGCCCACGCGGGCCATGCGTGGCTCTTCTGGCTGCCGGCTCGGCCGGTCGATGTGCGAGCCCTGCTGGCCGATCGCCTGCCGGCTGCCACTCTGGCGCCAGTTGAGCGCCTGCCCGTGGGCACGGCGCTGGTCAGCATCCAGCCCTTCCTACGGCCGGCCATCGGCCATGTGTTCGTCGATGTGCATGGCCTGCAAGTCCGCCTGCGGTCGGCGGCCGGGCCCGGCGCGGCCATTGCCCCGCTGGCCCTCGGCGACCGCGGCCCCGATGCCAGCTCGGCCCCGACCCTGGCCGGAGCCAACACCGCCGCGGCCGCCCAGCGTCTTCTGCACAATCTGATTGTCTTCGACCGGGCACGCGTGGCCGATCGCGTTTGTGCCATCAACCAGTGGGACCGGCGTCTGATTGCCCTGCGCGCATTGGCCCTCGGCCTGGCTCATCGCCAGTTGGATGCGGTGCGCACCGCCCTGGCCGACATCCAGGGCGACCAGCTGTCCGATGCGATTGCCCTGTGTGTGGAGGCCCTCCGGGGCCTGGTGGCCGAATCGACAGTCACCTCAGCCGATGGCGATGTCGGGCCCGGGCCCGGGGCCGGGGCCGGGGTCAAGCCCGGGCCGGGTCCCCCGCAGGCAACCTTCCGCGATGCGGCCACCCGGCAATTTGCATTCGAATGTGCCCGGTGCATCCTCTCCAGCATTGTTCGGCGCATTGCCTCGCATGCAGTCGGCCTGGGCAAGACCCTGCAGGAGGGCATCGCGCGATCGCCCACCAGCACGAGCAGCATCCTGCCATTGAGCTCGCTGCTGGTTCTGGCCAACAGCGCCCAGGGGGACCTGGCCTCGTTGCTGGCCGGCCCGGCCGGCCATCTGCTGGCCGACCCGATGTCCGCCACTACCACCGCGCCTGGTCCTCCTGCCTCGGATCTGGCCCTGCCCAGCTTGCGGGAGATTGTTTCCCTGTCCCGGTCTTTGGCCGAAGTCCGGCGCTTCATCCTGCAGCCGCCCTTCCGCGCGGCCACCTCGCCCGACCTGCCGGAATGCAGCCCGGTCATCCCGCTGGACGACTTGCCGGACTCGGTGGGCTCGGTGGCGGTGTGCTCGACCGGGCTGCTGGACCCGGCCGGGCGTCAGCTTTGGGCCGGCTGGCTGGAACTCTTCTCCAAGCCGACCCTCACCTCGGCCGATGCCACGCTCCAGACCCTGGAGCACGGCCTGGCCACCGGGGCCCTGAGCCTGGCATTGGCCTTCCTCCGGTCGGAGCTCGGGGCGCGCTGGTGGAATGGCAGCCTGCTGAACCAAACCGCCAGCGGCCATCTGTTGCGATTGACGGACCCGGCGTCGACCGGGTCCGGCCCCGGGCCCGAGACGCGTGCCCCTCGGGCGGCCCCCCGCTCGCGTAGCTCCAGCACCGCTCGGCCGGTGGATGCGACCGAGGCCGGGCCCTCGGAGCCCCCCGCCGGCTCTGATCGACGCAAGGCCGGGCGCAGCCGGCGTCCGGCTGACCCGGCGTCCGGTGCCGACGAGACCGCGCCAGTGCCGGACAAGCGCCGGACCCGGCGTACTCGGAAGTCCCGCCCGGCCGACTCGGAGGGGCCCGCCGCCGGCGAGGACCCCTCGGCGGCGATGCCCGCACCGGCGCCTGTTGCATCCGCGGCGGCGGTGGCCGACGCCTTCCCGGCCCTGGGGCCGGAATCTTCGGGTGCCACGCCGGCCGTGCCGGGCACCGGTGCCACCCCACGACTGGATCCCCTGCTGGCAGCCGACCTTCCCACGTTGCCCCTGTGGCGCATTCGAGCCCTGCTGGCGCGCACCATCTACACGCATATTTGCGCGCGGAATGTGGCGGCAACGCGCCGGCTCTTGGCCGGCTTGGGCCTGTCGGCGCGCGATGCCTGGCGCGAGCTCCTCCGGCACACGTCCAGCCATCAGCTCCGGGAAATTCTCCTGCCCCATGTGGCCTTGACCCCGGGCAGCCCGGAGGACTTGGCCGATGCGCGGGCCGTGCGCCTGGCCCGGGCCGTGCAGGCCTCCCTCTCGGCTCCCAATGCCGGCCAGGACAACCTCTTCAGCGAGGTGGGCCGGCTGTTGGCCGGTATGGCCGGCCGCCAAGGCACGGCCAATGCCCAGGCCTTTGTCGAGACCTTCCTCCAGCAGGCTCCCGGGCCCGGGGCTTCGGCCCTCGACCGCGACCTCTTCCTGACCGGCCAGGTGACCGACACGCTGCCAGTCCTCCAGGTGACGGCCGACATCCTGGCAGTCGCCGGGCCCAGCGGCCTCCCGCCCACCAACTCCTATGTGCAGGTGATGCTCGCCTGGTTCCGGGCCCTGGAGCCCGAGCTCCAGTCACGCCTGGCCCTGAGTCTGCTCCCGGGGCTGGGCCTGTCGGCGCTGGATGTCGGCGCTCGATTGGATTCCCTGCCCGGGCAACTGGCCGACCTTTTCCAGGGCCTGTCGCGATCGGACTTGGCCCGGGCGGCACTGATCCTGGCATCGGCCGGCGCCTCGACCGCCAGCGTGCGCATCGCCGCCGTGCTTGCCCGGGACTCGTTGAATTCCCTGCCTGACGCCGGGTCGGCCGTGGCCCAAGCCCTCTCCGAGGAGTACTGTCGGATTCTGACGCACCTGGCGCCGTTGCACATCCTGTCCGTGGCGGCCACCAGCCCGGAGTGGGGCACGGTCCTGGCCCGGCGCCTGGCCAAGCTGGACCACCCGCTCGAAGCCGGTCCCGGCGGCCCCGGCGGCCCCGGCGGCCATGATGCCGAGTTTGCCCTGCTCTTGTCCACGCGATTGCTGTCTCTCTCCCGCAATGGGACCCTCTTTTCCGATGGCCTGGGCAATCAGCAACTCGATCGGGACACCCTGGACCGGCATCTTGCCCAGTCGTTTGTAGCCTCGCGATCGATTGGCGCCCTGGCGGAGTTGCTGGCTGCCCGATCGGCGGATTCGCTGCTCGGGTCGCTGGCCACCGCCGGCGCCGGCGCCGGCTCCGGCAACCGTCCGCCGGCCCTGGCTCTGTTGGAGCTCTTGGCGCCGGTACCGGAGAGCAGCTCCGCATCGAGCCCCGCCGGGACCGCTGCCGCGCCCTACCTCCATGCCTGGTTGGATTTGTTGCTGGCATTCCTGGCTCTGGCCGAGGAGGGCCCCTCGGCCGCCGGGGACCGGTGGTGGGCGGCGGCCTTGGCCAACTCCCTGGCCGCGGTGGCCTCTCCCGATGGCCTGACGCCCGGGTGGCTGGTGGCCCGAGTTCGCCAAATGATGTCCTCGTCGGTGGGCCATTCGGCCGGCGGGAGCCCCTCGGCGTCGACCGACCCGGCCACCAATGGGTCCTCGGTGCTGACTGCCTTCCTGTCGCGGGCCCCTCGGCGGCCATTCCTGGCCCTGGGACCGCTGGTCCTGAGCGGGCGCGGGGTGCGCACCGCGGCCGGGGCCCCGGTTGGCACCGAAGCCCAAGTGGACCCGCGACGCCTGCACGCGGCCCTCGTGTCGTACCCCCTGCTGCGCCGGGCCCTTGGCCTGGATTCGCTCGAGGGTCCGGAAAGCCGCGAGGCTGCCTCATCGCGACAGACCCTGGTGGCCGGGCTGAAGGCTGTGGCCGGGGAGCTCCTGCCGTTGGAGCTGGTCCGCGCGGCCTTGCCGGGCGCCAGTGGGCTGTCTCCCCTGGCTCAGTGGCTGCGCCATGGCGAGTGGTATTCCCTGTCGGCGCATGGCCAAACCCCGGCCGGGGTGCTGACCAGCGCGCAGGCAGGTGGCACACTTTTGCCGTTGCTGCTTCGTGCCCTGCCCCGGCCGGGGCTCGCGGGCTCCGGGGCTGGGGTGGGAGTCGCCGGCGCATGCTCGTCGGACCTCCTGCTGCCGGGGGCCGCTCGCCGGAGCACGGCCATCCGCGCGGCCGAATACCAGCATTTCATCCAACTCTCCAGGGCTGTCTTCCAGCAGCTGGTCCAGGCAGGGGCCCTTGCCCAGGCGCCCTTGCTGGACCCGCTGCACTTTGTGCGCGTGGGTCAGCCGCTGCGTGCTGTGCAGCTGGCCGAGCATGTGCTCCAGTCCGGCGCCCCGACGGCCGGGGCCTACCTGCGTCTCTTGGCGGATCTGGTGCATCGGCTGTTGCTGGGGGCCTTTGACGATCGGCTGATCGTGGCCTCGGGGCTTGTGGTACTGGAGCGCCTGCTTCCACGGCTCTTCCCCGATGCCGGCGCAGCATGCCATGAGTATCTGCAACACTTGCGCTCGGATTTGCGCGTGGGCCGTTTGCTATTCTACACCGCCCAGGCGCTGGAGAAGGAGTCTTCGGCGGTGGCGGCGGCGGCGGCGACCATCCTCCCGACGGATCGGCTGGACGCCCTTCGCCAATGCCACGCCCACGAGCACACAGTTCGCTTGCTCCTGGACCTGGCCATCGGCCGGGGCCTGCGATCGGAGCTGGGTGGCCATCTGGCTGGGGGCCGTGCGCCGGCGTCCTTGGCCTTGGTATCCGGCGGCCTGGCGGCCAGTGGTCGAGCGGTCTTCCTCCTGCTGCAGGATGCCCTGTGCCTGGCGGCGGCCGGGGCCGGTCCATCCGGCCCCGGGCTCCTGGCCCCGGTGGCCGAGGGTCTCTTCGATCGCAGTCCCGTGGCCGGGGAGGAGGGCTTCCGCGAGGTGGCGGCATGTCGCCTGGCGGCCGGCTTCGCCGCCGCCCATGGGACCGGGCCTGCATGGGACCTGCTGACCTTCCTGGCCAGGCGGGTGTCCCCCGCGGACGGTGTGGCCGGTGTGCTGATGCTGCTGGCATGCGCCGATGCGCTGGCCCTGTCGCAGGAGGATGCCCTGTCGGCGGTGACCATCTGCGGGCGGTCTGCCAGCACCGGCGCCATTGAGCATGCCCTGGATGCGCTGAGCTTCGGCGCGGCGCAAGTACTGCCCGGCGGGTCGGTGGCGGACCGTGTGCGGGCGCTGCGCAGTGTGCCGGCCAATGCCGGCCCCGGCGCCAGCGCCAATGCCCTGGAGTCGCCGCTCTTCCGTGAGGATTCCCTGGGCGACAGCCCGGGCATGATCTCCCCGAGTGGCACGCTCTCCGGGCCGTCCTCAAATGGCGGCCCGGCCTCAGGGCCACCCGCCTGTGATACATGGTTCTACCAGCCCGCATGTGTGTGTGGCCAGCAGATGGCTGCGGCCGCGGCCACGGTGCCCGGCAGCCCGCCGGCCGACCGGCCATCCCTGGCCTGCGTCGATGTCGATGGGGATTACACGGATCGCGTGCTGCTGGATGAGCGCGCCGCCGATGAGGAGTCCCGCATGGCCGGTCCGTCGGGTTCCTCGGGCTCCGGGCCCGGCGGCCGGGCTCGATCCTCATCGGTCGAGTCGGTGCTCGGTGATGGGTCTGTCCTGTCCGGGCCCGGGAGCCATGGGTTCGACTCGCTGGGCTTCGATTCGGACTTGCTGGCCCTGCCGGACATGATGATGATGCTCGAGGCCCCGGACCTGGGTGCCGGCCAGATGGGCGACTTTTCGCCCTGTCTCGGGGGCCCGGGCTGTCGGTGGGCCCTTTGCCCGTCGACCTATGGCCTGCCCGGGACCGGGGTGTCACTCCTGTCGGAGGAGGAGCCGGCCGCCGAGGGAACGCCCGACTCGGCCAATGTCTCCGGGGCTCGGGCTGCGGCCGCCGACGCTCCCACATCCGTCGTGTCGGCTCTCATGCATGCGATTGCCCTGCGTGCGGATGCCGAGGAGCCCACCTCCCCGGGGGCCGGGAGCTCCTCCATGCTGGCCGCCGCCGGCGGGGCCACGGCCCTGGCTCGTGGGCAGTCCCGCCCGGCCGAGGATCGTCCCTGGCTGGCGATCTTCCGCTCGGCGGTGACCTCTCGCGAGCCGATTCTGGCCATCCTGGCGGCCTCGATGTTCGGCCTGGACCGGGTCGGCCGGGTGCCGGCGCTCTGTGCCTTCATCGGGGCGGCCTTGCCGGCGGCCACCCTGCCACCCGGGCGACTGGGCGGCGGCCATCCGCGGGACTTGCGCCTTGTCACCCAGCTGGCCGTGGTGTCGGGCGTGGGGACGGCCGTGGCGGCGGCCTGCGCGCGTCTCGCCCCGGAGCACCCCCTGCGAGCGCTCAGCGCCTTCGCCGCGGCGGCCACCTGTGGCGGGGACCTGTCCCCGGCTGGCGTGGCCGTGGCGGCGCTCAACAAATTCGTCGAGGTGTCGCTGTCGGCGCTGCTGGTCCAGTCGACCAGCACCGTGGCCTCTCGCGGTTCCGGTGGGGCCGGCCACCCGAGTGACCCGGTCTACCGGCAGACCTTGAGCATCGGCTGGCTGCGGGCCGCCTGTGCCAATGTGGTTGATGGGGTCCTCGTGCGGGCGGCCGTCATGGCGGCCGCCGCGGCCACCGGGCCCGGGCTCGCCGGCCGCCCGGGAGCCGACATGGCCGCCGCCCGGGCCGCCCTCCGCGCGCGCATCGCCGTCCTGGAGATGGTCATTCGCGCGGATGTGGACGCCTTCCTGCTGACCAGCACCCTGGCTTCGGGCCAGGGGAGCCGCTTTGCGCGGGCCTGTCGCGATAGCAGTGGCACCCCATCGGCGGGGGCCGCTCGCCTGGGCCGGTATGGCCGACAGCTGGCGGCCCTGCGGCTGCTGGCCGCGGCCGACATCGTCCTGCCGGATGCCACACTGCCGGTGGCGGCCGTTTCGCCGACCGCCTGCGCGCTGGCCCTCTCGGCGGCCGGGGAGCATCTGGCCGCGTTGGATTGCGCGCGCCTCGGCGGCTGCAGCCTGACCATGCGTGCCAGCCTGGCCATCGCCGAGTGCGAGGCATCCATCTATGCGTGTCGCGAGCCGCGACTTGCTGGCTCGGCCGTGGTGGGCTTCGCCCGGGCGGCCCTCGACCAGGCGGCCCTGCTGCCGGTTCGCGCGGGGTCCGGCGCCACGATTGTCAGCGGTGCCATGCGGCCCTCCGGGGCGGCGGCCTTGCGCGGCCTGTCCCACTCGCCGGAAGCCAGCACCGCCACCCTGCTCGGGGGCCCCTCCACATTGGGGGAGCACCATCTGCCGGGTGCCGGGGGTCCTCCCGTGCCGCCGGCCCTGGAGCACCATGCATACCACCCGGAGTCCGATGACCCGGAGGTGGCGGTCCTCTGGTCCTCGCCGGCCTTGCGTCGGTCGCTGTGGGAGCGGTGCGATGCGCGTCTCCGCGTGCGACTCTTCGACCCGGAGCAAACTTCGCCCCCCCTGTCGCCGCACCTGTCCCGGGCCCGGGCGGCTCTGGCCGTCGGGGCCTTCTTCCTCCGGCAGCTGGCTGCCCACTCGGTGTCCTGTGGCGTGGAGAATGCCGAGGGCGCGGCCGAGCATGCGGCCCTCCTGGCCCGGGCGTACCACTGGCTGGCGGCCGTGCCGCGCCTTCTGCCCGGGGTCTTCCTGGAGCTGGCGCGCCTGCCAGCCGCCGGGCCCGGGCTGCTCCAGGAATCGGTGGCCATCTCGCCGCACACGTGCTTGGATCTGGGCACGGCGGCGGGCCACAGCTTCGCGCATGCCCTCCAGCGCCGGGTCATCCTGGCCGCCCTGCGGGCCGTGGACCAAGCCCGCGAGGAGCATCCCAGCCTGCGAGCCAGCCTCGGCACCGGGCCGGGGGCCGATCTGACGGCTGGGGCCGATGCGGCCATCGGCTCGCCCGACCCCTCGACCGCCCCCTTCGGCCTGGGTGATGTGCGTCTGGCCCTCGGCAAGACCCTCAGCCAGCTGACGGGTCTGGCCGCGGGCCGGCCGGCCGTCGGGCTCGGCACCGCCCGGGTGCCCTGGACGGCGGCCAGCTTCACCGATCTCCTGGCCCCGGGCGGCCTGGACCTGCCGGCCTGGTGCGATGAGGACATTTCGCTGACGCGGCTGGAGCGGTCGTCCATCCGCCGGGCCATTGGGCGGCAGCTGGATGGGGGAGCCCTGGTCCAGGCGGCCCAATTGGCCCTGCTTTTCGGGCCCCGCCATGCGGGCTACCTGTCGCGGGACATCGCCATCCTGTACCAGGCGTCGCTGGTGGCCGATCGCTATGTGGCCGGGTCGTTGGCCTCGCCGACCGCGGCCCCCGCGCCGGGGGATCCTCTCCCGGGCGCGCGTCAGCGCTTCCTCAGCCAGTTCCTGGGGCTGCTTCGCCGTGAGGCATCCCCCGAGTCGGGGCCCAAGGTGTCGGTTCCGGCCAGCCCGCGGAATGCGGCCGACATCACGCCCGGCAGCACCCCCACGGCGGTCGGCGGCACGCCGGTGCCCATCCGCAGTCCGCTGGCCTCGGCACCGGCCTCGGCAGCGGTCAGCATCACGGCTGGCCTCCTGTCCTCGGCCCTGTCTTCCTCCCTGCTCACGGGCAGCCTGAGTGCCGTCCTGTCTGGGGATCTGCACGACGGGTCTCTTGGCTTGGGCTCGCCCTCGGGCGAGGCTCTCGCGCGGGGCGGTGGCCCCTCCTCCAGCTTCGACCACATGCACGGGGGCGCTGGACACGGTGCTGGTCATGGCAACGGCAGCGAGGAGGCGGAGGAGGATGACGATGATGATGACGACTCGGACAACGACTCCGAGTACGAGGCCCACCATTCGCATGTGTCGCAGGCGGATGCCGGGGATTATCTGCTGGAGGCCCTGTCAGCGGGGCTGACCGGGCCCTCGCAGCTGGAGGGGCTCGACTCCTCCTTCGACCTGACGGGGGCCGGTGGCCCGGCTGCGGCCGCGGCGGCAGCCGCCTCTGTTCGCACGGCCCTGGCCAATGACCCGATCTGGCAGATCCTCACCGCCTTCATCCTCCGGCCGGGGCTGTCAGATCAGGCGGTGGCCGGGCCCGGGCCCGGCATGTCGGCCGATCCGCTTGGTGTGGCCTGTCGCGACTGGTTCGCGCATTTGGCCGTGCTGGTGCGCTGCGCGCGGGCGGCCCTGCGGGCCATCCTGGCGGATGCCTGTGCGGCGCGCCTGCTGAGCCAGGTGCACCGGGAATCGGGGCTCAGCCCGGAGCGGGCATCGGTGGCACTGCTCTCGCCGTTGTACGAGCATCCGGCCGCCGGGGCGGAGTGCTCGTATGAGGCGGTGGCTGCGGCCCCGGTGGCCGGGACGCTGGAGCGCCTGCTGCGGGTGCGCCTGCGGGCGGCCGCGCCGGACCTACGCTCCGTGGCCCCGGCCGCCGGGCCTGGCCTGTCGGAAGACCAGTCACTCGCCGAGCATGCCCGGTTCCGGGCCCAGTGGCAGCAGTATGAATTCCGCGGGCAGCGCCTGCTGGCGGCCGGGCTGCTGCAAGTGGCCCAGGCCTTTGCCTTCTCGCATGCGGTTTCCCGGCCGGCCCTGGTGACGGCGGTCGCCCGGGCCTTCGGCCATGCGGTCCTGGTGGCGGTCAACCGGTATGCCGGGCCCGGTCGTCGGGCCCTGGTGGACACGCTCCGTAGCGGCCGGCTGAGCCTCGGCCCGGCGGACGTCGAGGACGAGGCCACGGCCGCCGCGGCGCAGCTCCGCTCGACCGCCGATTCGTCCATGGCCGGCGCGCCGGCGGTTCACCACGCTACGCTGGCCGCTGGCCGACAGCTGAGCGAATTGCCGGCCCGGCTGCCGGCCGATGACCGCCCGCTGCTGGATGCCGCCTGGTCGACGGATGACTTCCTGTCGACTCTGCTGCCGGCGGCCGCGGCGGCCGTCGGCTCACTGGGCACAGGGGCCGGGTCCTTTGCCGGGTCGGCAGGGTCGCAGTCGGGCTCGGCCATGGCCGGGGGGTCGGCCTCTGCCGGGCCGCTGGCCATCGATACGGCCGCCGATGCGGCCTCCTCGGCCTCGCTGCTGGGCCACACCCTGTGCGGGCTGGTCGACCGGCCGGACGGCCTGGTGGGAGACCTGCTGGCGCCGGTGGCGACCAGCGGCCTGGCCGCCGAGCCGTCCCCCTCGGCGGCCCTGCACATCACCGAAGTGGAGCTGCTGGTCCGGGCGCATGAGGCCTTCCGCCGGGCGTCGGACGCCGGGGGCGAGGCGCGTGTGCTGCGCCTGGTCCGCAGCCGCGTGGAGCAGGCATATGTCCCGGCATTGGAGTTGCCCCTGTTGGTGCGCCTGCTGACCGGGGTCGGCCGGTATGCCGACATGACCTTCATCCTGGACTGCCTGTCGGTGCATGATTCCTTCGAGCTCCTGCTGCGCCGGGCCCATGGAGGCCGGTCGCGTCATGGGGAGCTTCGCCGGGCTCTGCATGCGTATTTGCTGCGCCCGAGCGCGTCGCTCCCGCCGCAGCCCACCCCGCAGGAGTATGCGGCCGATGCGCAGTCCCGCCGGGAGCGCTTGCAGATGGTGTTCCTGGCCTTCGGCATGTTCCGGGAAAATGGGGACCTCCTCCGGGGGGATGCCGATGGGCGCGTGCGCCAGGTCCTGGCCATCGGCGATGTGGCCTCCACCTCCGGGGCTCTGGGACCCGGCGGGGCTGGCCACGGTCCTGGCCCTGCTCCGGGGCTGTCCTCGGCCTTGTCTTTCATGGCTGGCGATGCGCCGATCAATGATTCCGGGGACTCCGGCGCGCGGCCCATCGCCGGGTCTGGGGCTCGGCGTGACTCGGAGCTGGCCTCCTCCCTGGCATCGTCGTTGGCCGGTGGCCGGCGGTCGGGTGCCGGGGCCGGGGCCGGGGCCGGGGCCGCGGGGCCCGCCGGCACGGCCACCCCCCCGACCGGCGGCCCGGGGGCCCCCCTGCGGACGCAATTCCGCGCGGAGTTTGCCACCCGGCGGGACTTCTTCGAGCTCCTCACTGCCCGGGGTGGGGATTTGCGGGCGCGCATGGGCGCCGAGCTCCCGGGGCCCGGGCTCACCGGGGCCTGTGTGCAGCAGCTTCTCCAAGCCATGCATCTGTACATCGACGCCGGGGTATCGTACGCCCGGAGTGGGGACGTGGTCCGGGCCCGGGCGACGGCGGCCTGGGCGCGCCTCGTGGCGCTGCAGCTTCGGCAGCCGGATCTCGGCCTGCTGGGACTGGCCGCTTCGGCGGCCGGGCTGGCCACCGGGCCGGGTCCCCTGCCGGTCGACGCCCCCTACAGCGGCGGCTGGCTGTGCCGTTTGGCGGCCTTCTGCCAGGGCACCTTTGCCGATGTGCAAACCGTCCTCGAGGCGTATGGGCTGGATGCGGCGCCGGAATCGGCTGGCAGTGGCCCGGGCCCGGCTGGCGGTTCGCCCTCGCCGGCGGTGGCCCTGGCTGCCCTGGGTCTGGATGTGGCACAGGTCCCGCGGGCCCTGGCCCAGCCCGAGGCCCTGGCGGTCTTGCAGCGCTGGGGCGGTTGGATCGAGGCACTGGCCGTGGCGGCGGTGGCGTGTGGCCAGGTTGCCGTGCACGATGTCTTCCTCCAGCATTACGCCCCGCCGCCGGTGTTCTACGAATGGCTGGTGTTCCTGGTGTTCGAGGCCTTCGGCCTGGCGGATCTGGTCACTCGGCCGGTGTGCGGCGCCCACATCAACATCCTGCTCGGCCTGCTGGGGCTGGACATCGCCAGCTCGGAATTCGCGGCCCTCGGGGTGACCCCCGGGGCTGGTGGTGGGGGCGGGGGCTCCGGGTCCGGGGCCGGCCCCGGCGCCGGGGGCTTCAGTTCGCCGGCCGGGGCCGGGCTCGCCGCGGCGGCCCCTCTCCCCGTCAACTTGCTCCGGTCCTCGAGCGCGCTGCTATCCTCCTCGCCCTTGGCCTCCATCGGCCTGGCCTCGTCCCTGAGCAATGCCTTCTCCGGGGGCAGTGCTTCGACCGGGGCCGGGGCTTCGAGCACCGGTGGGGCTGGCGCCAGTGCGGCCTTCGCCGCATCGGCCGCCGCCGCCGCCGGCACCCTGCCGGTGGAGCTGGCACACAACCTGCTGCTCGTGCTGTCCGAGGCCCGGTCGGCCTCGCCGCTGTTGCTGCTCCGGGTGGGCCTGGCCTGTGTGTCGCCCACCCGGGCGGTCCCCTCGCGTCTGGAGGGCCTGCTGATTGCCATCATCGAGAATTACCCCGGCATCGAGGAGCTGATCTATTTCGACTCGGCCCCGGCCGTCAAGTGGCCGGCGGCCGCCGGCGGGGGCGCCACCAATGTGGGCCACCACCCTGGCGGCGCCTTCCTCTTCGGCTAGTTCTGCTCCCCCTGGCCAGCGGCGTCCTCTTGTGGCCAGGAAATACATGTCAACACAACTCCCCCATGCATCCTCGTGCCTTCATGCGCGCCCCCTTGCCCGGACCACGCCAAACACACTGTGAGTCTCCCCCCTTCCCCGCACACACACACACACACACACACACACACACGCACATGGACGGCGGGCGGTATTTCGATGGTCTATATGTATATGTATCAAAGAGAGGCGTGTAACAAGGGGAACCCCCCCACGGAGAAGGGGGGGCGCGGCAGAGGGGGAGAGAAAGAGAGAAGGAGAGAGAGAGGGGGGGGGGACAGGGCAGGACACACTCTGACACTCCGCTCCAAGGCACACAAGGGGGAGGAGCCGCCCCAGGGAGGGGGGGGGGGGGAAGGTACACAGCAACGGGAAAGGGGGAAGAGGGGGCGGGCGGAGAAAAGAAAGGCAGAACACAGGGCGGGCACGCGGGTAAATGCGCCCATGTGTGCACATGTGTGTATAGAGAGCCGGGAAGCCATGCGCGCGGGCGCGGGCGCGCGCGCTCACGAGTTCAGGGGCATCGTGGGGATGGGGGGGGGGGGGGGGGGAAGGTACACAGCAACGGGAAAGGGGGAAGAGGGGGCGGGCGGAGAAAAGAAAGGCAGAACACAGGGCGGGCACGCGGGTAAATGCGCCCATGTGTGCACATGTGTGTATAGAGAGCCGGGAAGCCATGCGCGCGGGCGCGGGCGCGCGCGCTCACGAGTTCAGGGGCATCGTGGGGATGGGAATGCCCTGACGGCCCTCGAAGAGGAGCAGGTCGAAGACATTGCGCAGGAGGCCCTCCTGGCGGCCGAGGCTCGGCAGCTCGGAGGAGGTGTGCAGCGCCGGCCCCGGGGCACCGGCAGCCTGAGCATGGGCCCAGCTGGCGGCGGCGGCCACATGGCGGAAGAGCAGCGGGTTGGAGCGGACCGCCTCGCGCGGAGCATCGAAGGCAGGCGGCACAACCGGCCCACCAAGCTCCGGGCACACCTCCGGCGAGAGATCCTGCAGGGCCGAGGCACTCAGCTGGCCGGCCTCATTCAGCAGGTCGAAGCCGGCAGTCAGGAAGGCCCGGCTACCGGAGCGACCGAGGAAGTTGCCCTGGGCATCGATCATGATGCTCCCCTGGAAGAGGAAGAAGCTCTGCCCGGGGGCATTGCCAGCGAAGGGCCCGGTGACGAAGGGAGCCAGCGGCCCGGTCAGCAGGTCACCGGCCAGGGTGGCGGGATCCTGCTCATCCAGGATCTGGACCTCCGACCCATCGGCCAGGAAGAGACCCGGCGCATGGGGCTGGAAGGTCGATGCGCGGAGGCCCTGCTTGGTGAAGAGGGCCGGCCGGCCGGCCGGAGTGGCCAGATCCCCGGCCGGAGACAGCATGATCGGCTGGCTGCCCGGGGACCCATGGTGCAGGACCACCGCCGGGGCGCCGGGGTTGGACGCCTGGCGCAGGATGTCCAGCTCGGCCGGCGGGGCCGACAGGAAGAGCGACTCGCCGGCCTCCACATGGGCCTCCAGCTGGGCGCGAGTCATGCCGGTGGTCGGGTTGGCGAAGAGCATCGGCTGCCCGGTGACCGGGTCGCAGCGGATGCCGGCGTTGTTGTAGAACACCCGAACCGGGCGCCCGGAGGACATGTCCACCTGGTGGCCCTCCTTGTCCAGGTGCAGCGGGGCACCATACAGATCGCGGGCCGGGGAGTTGCCGGAAGCCGGGAAGATCGGCCGGCCATCCGGTCCGAAGGGCGAGTGCTGGACAAACGGCCCGCCAGCCCGGGGGTTGGTGATGGTCCGCCGGCCTGGGGCCACGGCGAAGGCCAGATCCGTGGCCGAGCCATACATCACGGCCCCCTGGTGGTCCACCTGCAGGCCGCCGGAATTGAAGGACATCGGCCGACCGGCCCCATCCACCAGGCGCTTGTCGGCATTGAAGCTCAGCAGGCGCCCATTGGCATCGATCATGGCATTGCCGGCGGTGTAGAGGGTCGGCGCCAGCTCCGGCGCCGGGGTGAAGGGCATGGCCGACACGGCCAGCATCCCCGGGAGGAAGGTCCCCTCAGGCCCGGCAACACCATGGGCCTCAAGCAGGGCCGTCGGCGAATAGCCACCCGGCGGGGCCGGGATCAAGTCCGCACGCGGCAGCAGGCCAAGCTCCTCATCCGAAGAGCGGATGAGCCGCGCCTGGCGCAGGACCCCGGCCAGCGCACGCAGGCCGGCACCCAGGTCGAAGGGCTGGGGCTGGGGGTTGGCCGAGCTCCGGAGATCCGGCGCCAGGAAGAGCTCCGGCGCCGACAGGTCCTTCATGTGCTGGGCCAGGCTCAGGCGCAGGCTACGGAAGGGGGTGGCCAGGACACCGGTGAAGTCCTCCCGGAACTCCGGGTACAGGATGTGCCCACCGGCCGGCCCGGTGAAGGGCCCCCAGGGGATGCTGGCCAGTCGGCCATCCGGCAGGAAGCCAAAGCCCCGGGCATCGTGGCGAATGGCCGCCGGGCCGCCGGCCGACTCGGCCAGCGGCCGGCCCGACCCATCGAGAACCCGGCCGAACTCGTCATGGCGGAAGGGGATCGGCTCGAAGGGGGTCACGGTCAGCTTGTTGTCCAGCTGGTGGAAGTTGTGGTAGGCCACATTGTAGAAGGTGGCATCGCGGTAGCGCAGGCGCGACTGCCGGTCGAAGTAGACCGGGTTGCCCTGGAGATCCGCCATGTCGGTCGGGCAGACGGTCTTGGCATTGTTCGGGTTGGACAGGCTGGTCACCGGGGACCCGGGCTGCAGGACAATGTGGTGGTCGATGTTGCGCAGGAAGCCCTGGCTGTCGATGTACATGGTACCGGCCGCCCCGCTGGCCAGGCCGTCGGTGTAGCCGAGGACCTCCTGGAACATGCGGTCCGGGTCGAGGGTGGCCACACGCAGGGTCGGCGGCGCGGCGGCCCCGAGCTCGGCCAGCAGCCCGGCCACCGCCGTCTCGAAGATGGTCAGGTGACGCTGGACCTGCTCCGGAGCCGACAGGGCCGACTGGCTCCGGGCCAGGTGCAGATCGTGCAGGTGGACATGCATCGGCAGGGAGGCCGGATCGGCCGACCCCGGGCCAGTCGGCAGGGGCTTCTGCTGGAAGAAGGACGACCCGGGCCGGGGCAGGAACCCAGGCTGGGGGATCCCCCGGCCGGGGCCGAAGGCCGCCACCGGGGTCTCATCCATGTACTCCTCGTCGGCCGAGAGGTCGGACCCGGCAGACCCGTCGGCGGTGGAGGCCCGGTCGGCGGCAGCCGCATCAAGCTCATCCACATGGACCAGGCTCTCGGCCGCGCGAACGAGCGGCGCGCAAATGGAATTGTTCAGCAGATCGTCCAGGGTCTTGGCCAGGTGGAAGAGGGGACCGACGGCGAAGCCACGGGCCTTGAGCGAGTCCAGGTGCTTGGCTCCGACGGTGTCGCTGGAGGCCACCAGCAGCGCGAAGATCTCATTCCGGAGGGCGAGGGTGTCCACGTGAGCGCGCAGGGCGCGGACATCCTTCGGCTTGTTGGCGAAGGTGGTGAACGCACGCGACAGGCAGGGCTGAACCCGGGGGAGGAGGGCGGGAGCACTGTCGACAAGGGCCAGGAGGAAGTCCTGTGCGGGGGAAGAGAGGAAGGAGGCGGTTAGCGAAGAGGGAGAGGGAGAGGGAGAGGGAGAGGGAGAGCGAAGCCCTGGGAGAGGGCAGGAACGCATCAAGCCAGGCAAACGCACCACGAAGCCGAAGAACTGGCGCTTGGTCAGGGGCGACGCACGGGGCGCAAGCATGAAGGTGGTGATCTCATCAATGATCTTGGGCAGGTCCATGGAAGAGTCGCCCTGAGCAGTCAGGAGGACTGTCGGGGTGTGGCAATGAGGAGGGGGGGGGAAAAGAGAAGAAGAGAGGTCAGCGGAGGGAGAGGCGGGGAAGTGGAGCGACAAATGCCGAGGAAGACCCCCGCGGCAGGTGGCCGAGAGTCGAGGGGAGGCGGCCGGACGCACGCTCATGAGCAAAGGCGGTGACCGGGTCGGCAGCCTGCTTCAGCTCGGCCAGGCGATCGACATTGAAGCTGCGAGTGTTGAGGAAGGCACGGTAAAGGGTGCCAGACAGCGCGGGCGGGTCGTCGCTGCGCTCGAACTTGTTGCCCTCAATGGCGGCCGTCGAGTCCAGAGCCCGAATGGGCCGCATGGCCGGGTGGTCGTCGAGGAACTGCGGCAGGGTCTTGAATTCCGGCAGGTAGCCCGGCTGGCCGGGGCTCGGGAAGTGCCGGACATCCGACGGCGGGGAGGGGACAATCCGGTTGATGATCGGGTCGAAGGGGTTCTGCGTCGGCTGCGGCGGGGTCAGCTGGCGGAAGGCCGGGTGATAGCCATACAGCGGGTTGAAGGCGTTGAAGATCTCCGCGCGGGCCTGGATATCCTCGCCCATGCTCCGGTCGAGGTAGCCATGGCGACGTGGGGGGGCCTGACCGGCAACCAGGTCCAGATTGATGGGGTACTTGCCCGAGGCCATGCTGGGGTCATCGGTGTCGGCGTCGGGCTCCGGGGCCACGATGCCATAGTGCTGGTAGAAGTTGGCGCCGGTCAGCTCGGACACCGACACCACGCGGAACTCATCGTCATCCGGGGTGCCGGTGATCGCCTGGCCGCCGGCCCCGGAGGTGGCATAGTCGAACACGGCGTCCGAGTGCCCGGTGGCCGAGGGGGACCCGGTGAACTCGTGCACCAGCTGCTGACGCAGGCGCTGCTGGTCCTGCAGCATGCCGGCCGGCGTGGGGGTGGTGGTCTTGACCGTCTCCGGGCGGGGGGGCGTGGAGAAGTCCGAGAAGTCATCGTTATCCGAGTTGTTGGCCGCGGAGTGGATGCTCTGGGCGAGGGGGGGGAAGAAGGCCTGCGCGGGGCGGCGCGCCATATTCGGGCGCTGCGCCAGGCGGGGGAGGAACCGAATCGACTGGAGCATATCGGTTGAGGCTGTGGCGGG